TTGTGTTGGAGCGCTGCGGTCGAAACGGGGTCCTGTTCATTGGGAGGGGTGTGGCGTACCGCAAAACGGGACTCCACTGGATATTGTTCATCTCCACCGTCGACTGCCTCCACGGGATATTGTTCATCTCCACAGGCTACTGTTCATCCATCGTCGACCTCCTCCAGCCTCCACCTGCTCCTGTTCATCCAGCCTCCACCGCTCCTCCACCGGCTACTGTTCAACCAACCCTCTCCACGAACCACCCCTCCATGGGCTACTATTCGTCCAGCCCTCCACCGGCTACTGTTCAACCAGCCCTCCACAGGGTCCTGTTCATCCACCCCAACCGTCTCGATCGGGCTCTTGTTCATCCAGCGGCAACGGCCTCTACTACCACGGGGTCCTGTTCATCCACCCTCCACCGGGAACTGTTCATCCAACCCCCCCCCCCAACAACGCTCACTGTTCATCCAGAGGCAGCATCGATCGGCTTCATTTAGCAGCAGTAGCGAAGAAATCACTCGGGGTCAATTAACAGCAAGGGATCAATCGCTCGGGTTCAGTAACGTAGCTAGTGCAATCGCTCGGGTTTAGTTAGAGCACAATGCCTCGCTCGGGTTCAGTTAGAGCGCAACGCCTCGCACACACGCGCGTACGTGGATGAGAGAAACACGCATCGCTCGGCCCCGACCACCCACCGTAACCGGGAACTCCCCGATATTTTCCTTGGCCTCGCTTCTACCACGGTTTTTTCCATCATGGACGACCCGAAGAATGTCATGCAGCTGTGTCTTCGGCCCGCCCAGGACGAAAATCCATTTTCTGTCATGATTTTTTGTCATAGAAGTAGGAGCCCACCACATCTATGATGATACCGGGTTTTGTCACAATTATCGTCATAGAAGTGTCATAAGCATGACAGAAAAAATTTTGTTCGGCCCAAAATGTCACGGATGTGTCTTTTTTTGTAGTGATGAGTTTTCCATGATGGTTTCTCATATAAGGTTTTTAACGAGACAATATAAATACAAGTGCGGATATATGCCATATTGGTTTCTCCTTATATTTTCCCCACTGGGTTTTAAAGGAGTTTTTGATGGCATATATATTATAAGGTTTTTCCTCAATTTTTCCCACACGGTTTTTGGAGGAATTTTTCAGTTTGCAATACACATATGACGAATTGATCAAGGGGGGTGTTGAGGAATGAAACATGTGATCAATTATATGGGAGGGATGCCTCCCAGGAGGTGTCTGTTGGGAAAGAGGTGTCTCGCCAACACACCCCTTCATCATGTACTCCCTCCGTTCCTTTATATAAGGTGTATTTTTTCGTTCACAGTGACCAAGGCATGGAACTTAAAATAATCGAGGACGAAAATATCCTCGACTAATTCATTGATTGCTGGGAAGTAAATAAATTAGAAAGGAAAGGAAGAGATCAAGACAATCAGGACAAAGATACTTTTCTTGTTTTCCTATGAGGAGAGATACACACAATCGGGAGAGAGATACTTTCCTTTTTCTGGAGGGCTAAGAAGGAGATTATGAGGAATTGAAAGAAAAGCATCTTACATTGTGGAATCTTATCAAAAAACAAATACACCTTATACTCCCTCCGTTCCTTTATATAAGGTGTATTATATTTGGCATGGCTACCAAGGCTCATAATTGTAAAGAAGTTAGGATGAAATTACCCTTGGAAAATATTTTGGTTAGTGGCAACTAAATCAATATATTAATCCAGAGAAGTAAAAGATACATGCAATCAAGAGATATATACTTTCTTCTATTGCTACAAGGAGAGATACAAACAATCAAAAAAGAGATACTTTCCTATTTTTTAGAGGGCTAATAAAGGAATTATGATGAATTAGAAAAAATGTACCTTACATTATGAAATTTTATACAAAAATAAATACACCTTATATAAAGGAATGGATGGAGTATAAAGAAATGGAGGGAGTATATAAGTGGATCTCCCACGTTGCAATGAAACTAGCGAATCATTTGGAGTCTTCATTTGTCTCCTTTAGAGCATCTAAAATACGCGCGTTATCTTAACTGCGCGCTGGAAAAAAACTACTTCTTTTCACGTGCGGAGCTGAAACGGGTGCTCCAGCAGCCGCGCAATAATCGCGCACGTGGTATATTGGGTTCAGCGTGTAGAGGAAAATGGCATCGCGCGCCACTTATTTTGTGCGCCCCTCCGCGCGTTGGATAGTCAACCGTCCGCGACCAACTACCGCCAACCTCTCTGGCCACCCCGCCTTCGCCCCGCCCCGTGCCACCGCCGGTGAAATTTGACCGATGGAAGACCCCTCCAGCGTTGTCGCCGCCGCCGCAAACCCTAGCACAGGGTTGAGCTTCGGCTTTGCCACCGGCGGTCCTCCTCCAAGCACCGGTCTCACACGCTGCCTTTTCATGGCACCACGGACAACCTCGCAGGGTGGCGTCGTGCCGCCAACCGCCATGAAGCCACAGGCCCCCGTCTCCAAGCGATCGAATGCGGCGGCAGCGACAGCGGGGAAGGTGTTCGGGAAGAAGAACAAGGCAGATGGCTCTTCTAGGCGGTCGAAGAAGAAGCTTGCAGGGCGTCCGGTCATGCCTCCACCGACCGAAGCGCCGAAGAGCTCGCAATTTGTTGCGCCGGCGGCCGATGCGCACAAGGTGTTTGATGAAATGCCCGAATGGTATAATTTCGCCCCCTTTTTTGTTGGTGTTTTTTACATAAATGTATACATATGGATGGCTTAGTTTTCTTCTACATATTTTGTAGTTTCAATGATGACACATATATGTCAACTATGGGTGTTGGCTCCAACAATTCTCATTGGTCTCAAACCAATGTAGTGCATGAATATGTTCATGAGTTTGAGGTGGACGAGGATGGTGAGGGTATCGTCGATGCACCGAAAGGAAGAGCGGGCAACTACACCATGGACGAAGACATCTTGCTATGCAATACATGGTTGCATGTGTCTATGGATGCCAACGTTGGAGGGGACCAAAGTAGAGATACATATTGGGTCCGGATGAGGGAGCACTTTGATATACACAAGAAGAGTGGAATTGACCGCACCGATAAATCTCTTCGCTCCCGGTGGTCGACAATCAACAAAGAATGTCAAAGGTGGGCGGCGACACTTAAGGCGGTTGACACGATAAACCCAAGTGGCACTAATGATAGAGATAGGGTAAGTGTCATTTCTTTATGTTCCTTCCATGTTCATGCTTCTTCTTTGGTGTTTCAAGTGCTAACTTGTTCTTTTGTTTGTAGCTCACTATTGGACAAAACTTATTTCAAGGAGAAGAGAATAAGACCAAGAAAGGGAAGGTCAAGAAAGGGACACCATTTGTGTTGCCTCATTGCTACAATGTGTTGAAGGATGAAGAGAAATGGAAGCCCCGTGATGACCAAGAGGAGAGAAAGAAAAGAAAGGCAACTATTGATTTGGATGATGATGAGGAGGAGGCATCAAGTGATGGTGGCAAGAGAATCCCTACGAAGAAGAAGAAGAAGAAGAAGAAGAAGAAGAAGAAGAAGAAAAAGAAGAAGAAGAAGAAGAAGCGGCGGCCGAGAAGAAGAAGGTGGCATTGTAGGAGAAGAAATTGGCCATGGAGGAGTGAGCAAGATTATTAGAATGGAGAAGTACTTATTCTTCATGGACACACCTAACTTGATGATAGGCAAAAGGAGTACTTCAATCTTTGTCGTGATGAAGTCTTGGTCAAAAAAAGTGCCATGGCCATGGGAGGCATGGGAGCTACAATGGGAGGCTTCAGAGGCATGGGAGCTACCATGGGAGGCTTCAGAGGCATGGGAGCTACCATGGGAGGCTTGGGAACATCTACGAGAGGCATGGGTGGGTTCGGAGCTACCATGGGTGGCATGGAAGGCATGGGTGGCTTCGGAGCTATCATGGGAGCCATTGGAGGCATGAGTTTTGGGTCTCTCATGAGAGGCATGAGAGCACCTCCGGGTGACGTGGGTGGCTTCGGAGCTACCATGGAAGACACTTGAAGCATGAGTTTTGTGTCTTTCATGGGAGGCATGGGAGCACCTCTGGTGACATGGATGGACACATGGCTTCCGGTGTGCCTCACATACCTTCGTATGATGCCGTTGGAGATCTTGCGAACATCATCCAAGCTCTCGATGACGATGCGGCGCTTCAAAATGAAGAGGAGAAGGAAGAATCGTCATCGGATGAGGAGGAAGAACAGGAGGATGATGATGTGGCATGATTGCCGATGTGCCATTTGTTTGTGTGAACTTTTATTTATCATAAATTTGGTTGGGTGATTTTGAGCTATGCCATGCAATTAAGTTATGCTATGTTGCTCCAACTCTTATTTTGCAGTTTAATGTTTGAAACATCATCATATTGTCAAATGGACATGTAAATTCGTATTTGCAAGCGCCGGCAGCTCGCGCGCTAGAAATTTAGCGCGCCTGCTGGAGCTGCTCGAGCGCGCCATATTTTGCAGCGGCCGCTAGAGCCAGCTCCCTACTGCGTGTAAAAATAGACTATTTCGACACTGTAAAAAAATTAGCACGCCGCATGGTAATAATGCGATGGGCGAACCATGCAAATTGAACCCGCGCCTATTGAAATGCTCTTACCAGTTCTTTTAGGCGATTCTATTCTATCAGAATCGCCCCCATCCTCAACTTTTCTCTCAGAATCATCACTCTATATGTTTTTTACAATCCTAACTAATTAAATCTTAACTAAATAGGATTGTAAAAAAAATATGAAGTGACCATGACCTACATCCGCTCTACAACAACCGCCTCACCCCTCCCCGTTGCCACAGCTGGGCCCCACGGGGTGATACATTCTCACCCGTCTCCCTTCGAGAACAGCATAGAGGGGGTGTTCCGCTGAAGAAAAGCGCCGTGGCTACAGTGGTACGCCTACGCGACGCCCTCACCATCTTCTCCCGCAAGCCAGCCAGCCAGCCAGCCAACCCAATCACTTTTCCCCTCCCGTCTCTCCGCCGCCACTTCCGCCATGTCCGCGGCGGCGCAGGCGACGGCGCCTGCCTCGTCGGACTGGACCACGGAGGAGGGGCAGTGGGTACTCCTCGTGTGCATGCCGCACGTGGTCTCCGACACGGTGCTCCCGCCGGGCACCGATCTCTCCGTCGAGCGCGAGCGCCCGCCTCGCCCCTTCCGCCTTACCGTGCCCCGCCGCGTCGCGCCCGACCCCAAGGACATCTACAACCACCCGTACGTCTCGTCGGTCGGGGATTTCGGTCGCTTCGTGCTCTACGCCACCCACGGCACGCAGGCTCAGCCGGCGCCGCCGGTCTTCGTCGACGATTTCGACACCGGTCCGGATGCGCGGCTCGACCACAAGGGCTTCCCCAGAGCGTTGTTCCTCTGCGACCTCAACACCCGCTCGGCCACCCGCCTCCCGGACCCCGAGCGCCCCATCTTCCGCCCAGACCCAGGCAGGGTCGGCCTCCTCGCCACCAGTGCGACGAACTCTATCATCCTGCACCTAGAGCATTTGCTCGGCACCAACCAGGCCACCCTCCTCTGCTACATCTCCGACCACGGCCGTTGGACCGTCCAGGATCTCTACTGCCCTCCAGGCGCACCAGGCCAGCGGGAGTGGAGGGGAGGGGACGGCGTCATCAAGTACATGGATCTCATGCTTTGGGTTGATCTGGCATGCGGCATCCTCGCCCTCGACACCAACGGCCTCCTCCTGCAACGCCGGCCGGAACTGCGGTATGTGCCGCTCCCTGATGAATGCCAGAGTCCAGGCAACAATGGTCTAGCAAGAGAGCGATGCCTTGGTGTGAGCGAAGGGGTGGTCCGATTCCTTGAGATCTCAAATTATGAGAGGATTAGGTTGTGGACACTTGTTGATATGGGCACAGGGGACTGGACTCTTGATCATCAGCTTGACCTCGAGAACCTCTGGGACGAGGATGGTTTCAAGGCCATGGGCCTGCCTAATGACTGTCCCGCTGTCGCATTTATCCACCCTGAGCATGCCACCATGGCATACTTCTTTCAGGAGTCTCGACTATTCCATGTTGACATGAGCACCGGCAAGTTTATGGATGTACAGTACTTCATGATGGACAACCCGCCGGCTGATTACCACTCTTCCAGATTTGTTCGCCCTTGGAAGCTTCCGCAGTCACTCTTCTCAGGTAAATCCTCATCACATTCCTCGGGTTAGGTGTTCGCCCGTAGCTTGTACTGCTAGTGTTTACTTGCTATTTGGATAATGTACATGCTGCTTCAGGAGCATTGCTCTTATTGAAATTATGCTGCTGTCTTGCATCTGGAGATCATTTTGTGGTACCCTCATCTCATTTTATCAGGCAAACAAATTCAGTCAAGAAATTTCGTGAGCCTTAGCAATGTGATCTTATTTATTAGTGTGATGCATTAGCAGCTTACAAGATTAGGCGACTAACTAATTGAATTCCATTTGCATATGTCTGCACAAGCATGTTAAGTAGCTAAATGCACGGATTTCTCTTAGCCTCTTATAGGTTAGCTACTGGATATTCACTTTATAACTGACTTTTTTTTTTGAAAAGGGACTTTATAACTGACATAGTTGATAGTTCATGCACTAGTAAGAAATGAGGGCTTGTGGTTAATGATTATAGATCTGAAATCTCTATCTTGTTATGCTTCAGCAAGGCCTTAGAGGCTACAGTTATCTTGGCTCGAGGTCACAAAATGATGCACATGTTGGGAATATTACGTCGGTTGGTTGTATGTTTTGTACGATATTGTGTGCTTTGATGATAATAACTAGCATGTGCATAGTCTGATGATGATGCTTAACAAAGGATAGGACTGATAACTAGTAAAATGCATGTAATTGCGGTGCTTAATTGTATTTTTCGCTGGGAGGTGCTTAATTGTTACATGTATGTAAGATCTTAGTTGTATCAAGTAGCGTCGGAACTAGACAGTCAATTACTTTTTCCCACGTATAACTATGTTCTGTTTGCATTTACTTCCCGTTGCTAGCAAGATACTATGATTGATCTACAACAGATATCTCAGTTAGTTAGTGCCATCAGAATTTCCTCATATGATTGATCTGCAATATATAGATATCTCGATGGCTTGTATGTTTTGACTAATATTCTTGTCTGTCAACTTTTAAAGGGATAGTTAATTTGTCTAATGGTCCAATCCGGAGAGCAAAAGACAATGCACCACCTGGGGGTTACCCACTGGAGGGACTTACCGGGCAGACATTCATAGGATGAATTGGAGGAACATGAAGCAGCAAGTGTTATGGCTAACTGTCTCCTAGGTGAGATCGATTTCTCATATTGATCTGTTACGATTTGTTGCTCTAGCTTCCAACCTCACGCAACTTTAGTGTACTGATTTTTGTTATGCTCAAATTTCCTTTGATGCAGGTGGATTTAGTACTTAATACAGGTTGCGGAGTGGTTTCAGCGGATGATACGGTCTGTTCTGGTGGCATGCGTGTTCTGGCAATCGTGGAGTTCTGCACTCAAAATCAAACTATGTTGCTGTCGTTTTGCTTTGTCCTGTCAGACAGTGATAGCATGTTGAAACAGTATCGTTGCAATGTCGCATAGTTTCTATTCCTCCTTGAACGGAACGCTGATTCTCAGAGTAGTTTTGTCTTGGTTGATAGTGATGCTTCCAGACTTTTAAGTGATCACTTGAATCTGCTGGGGTGATATGAATCTCTTTGGTGAATTATTGCTTCTTCATTTCCCCTGCATTGTAGTTTGATCGTTGAGTTGAGCCCTGGCCTGATGCTACTTGTTGCTCTTGATTTTTTTTTTCTGTTACCGGAGGACAACAGGGAGAGCTTGTTGCTTGGCATCGAGCTTTATTACCCGAGGAAGGGAATGCAACATAGGCATGCAGGTTGTCCACGGCGCCGGAAAGTAGTTCTTTCACTGTTACTTTAATGACTCTGATGTTTTAATAATCCTCGTGCGCACGTCGTGGATGCATCGTAGCTGTTCTGTTGGGAAGCAGAGCTCTCATTTTTAGACTTTCCACCATCAAACGTTGTCTTTGGTCGATTGGCTGATCTGATCTTCCCCATGGAGGCTTTGCACTCTGACGAACTGTCTATTTTCCTGGAGATTCTTTTTTTCTTTTTCGTGTGTTGTCCTGGAGAGTTTGCGCTTCAGAATTTGTTTTGGAGGGAGACAAAAGACGAAAGAGAGGAACATGCGCCTTGGCGGGAACCTTTTTTGAGGGGATGGCGGGAACTCCTGTCCCACGCGGGATAGTGAGCAAACGCTCGTTGGACTGCGGCCCATTATAGCTCGGTGCGTTTTGCCAGCGTTTTCTTTCAGTTAAGGTATTTTAGCTCTTTCTCAAAAAAAAAGGTATTTTAGCTGGACTTCGCTATTTCAGACTGTTTTTTAATAAAACTAAATAATACCTCACACATTGTTGCGGGAATTGGTCGACGCAAATTTGGATTGATAAAATGAGAACAAAAAATAAAAATGCATATGACTTTATTATATTCAATTATGTATATTTTATTCATTAAAGGGTATATATTAATATCGCGAATATACCAATTACACTCAGTCTCTGCACCAACAAGATGTCCAAAGACATTAGAGATGCACACAACCAAGAAAAAAATAAAAGAGATAAAAAGAGAACAAGACCCGTCGCGATCATGAACCACTCGCAACAGCAGCACTCTAACCACTACTGAAGACAAGACCCAAACTACAAGAGATTTTCCAAAAGCAACATTTCCAAGAAGAAAACAATGCGCAAATGATGTCGCCCGATAGAAGATCTTAGGTTTTCACCCTGGAGATTCCGAGTTTCCAAAACAATGCCTTCAGCAAGGCCATTGCCAGGTACAACCAGTGTAGATCAGACCTTGGGTTTTTACCCTGAAAATCATGACTCGGTACTCGAGGAGCACCACCTAGAATGCAGTCCACCTGTGTTGCCACCCCCGCTTGCCAAGGTTGCCGCTGCAAGTCGCCAAACACCCGACACACAGGGAGAACCTGTGCCGCATAGTCTTCATCGCAACCAGCACCCTCTCCGCCATTACTAATCATCGATCGCAGCCACCATGACTTTCTCCACCTCGGTAAGTTTCATGGAAATCTATATTAAGACATGTCTCGTGGCACCGACAATAAGGTGAAGCTTCGCACCACACCCAAATGAAGCCTCTCTGGCTCAGGACAAGAACGTGCACGACCGTATCTATTCGGCTCTAGATATCCAGTGACGCCATGCGCCAAACGTCGAAGATCAACAACAAGAAGACTGGAACTCGTCAGCGGCCAGAACGAGGAGGCCAACAACAAGAAGATCGGCAACCTGACGCAACAAGACCAGCACAGCCAAACCACCTATATTCGGTCCGAGCCAACAACCCCCACGCCACCAGTCGGACTGCCACTCGTCCCTTTCTGCGTTGTACAAACGGAGCACACTCGAACGAAGCCCCACACGAGCGCTTGCCAACCAACACGTAGCCGCAACGGACTGCCAGCAAAGACGCCCGAGGCACTCAGTCTGCTGGGCCCAAATCGGGCCCGCGCCACTACCTCTAGAGTGTCACTATGCTGTCGCGCTGGCACAGACTCGCGCACCAACGCGTCGTGAGTCGCAACCGATCGAAGCAGCAGCGGCCGTGACCTGTAGGCCCAGATCGGGCCTATGATGGCCGCACCGCCGTCGACCACGCCTCGGCCGCAGCGTGCCAGACACCAGCAAGGGTCGTCGCCTCGTTCGCGCCGCACTAGCCCAGTGCCGCCACCTCACCACCTCATATTCTCCTCCAAAGGCCACCTCGCGTGTGCGCCCGACACTGCACATCTCCGTTTCGAGGCACAACCCACGCGGGCCCCACTGCCCTCCACCTTCGGCGAGATGGGCGCCACCACCGCCATTAGAGCCGGCGGCATCAGCGGGCAGGGAAATCACGGGGGACCTCCGGAGTTGAATATTTTAAATGGGAGAGAATTTCACTTCTTGTCCCCTGCACCAACTAGGGATATGCATACATCCATTTTAGTATGAGTACCAAGATAAACATGGTCCTCAAAATATTTTAAAATGAGTATCAAAATTTTCTTGATGAGTAGTTTCATCATACACCAAGCTTGATCATTAATAAATGGAGGAAAACCCATGTGCATCACCTATCAATTTTAGGAATTTGATTCGGGTTGTTAGGCTGCACAGCCGCATGCCCAACCACTGAGTCAAGGCTCTCTTTGCATATTTGTAACAATATTTATTGAATATAAGTAGAATAATTAAAAGAAGAAAAAAGTCCCATGCATTTTTTTGCGGGAAAAAGTCCCATGCATAGATGAATGTTGTAGTGGGACTTTCTCATGCATGATTGCATTTTTAGGCGAGTCTTATCCGATTCATAATTGTATGGTAAGGAGACATATTTGCATGTTGAGATAAATAAATTAGTGGGAATTATTCTCTTAGGTATAATGCAAAAAATTGTATTTTTGAGAAAATGTTCACGAATTTTTAAATTTTGATTAAAAATATCAATATATATTCTTTTAAAAAATTCTTGCAAATGAAAATATTTTCATGAATTAGAAATGATTGTCAATTTGTTTTTCTATATTTCCTAAACTGTTCGTTAATATTTAAAAATGGTCAAGAATTTGAAAAATATTTCAAAAGTTCATAAAATATTAATGAATTAAAAAAGTATTTTCAAATTTGAAAAATGGCTAGTGTACTCATAAAATGTTTATGAATTGAAAAAATTGTTTGCAAATTTGAAAAAAATGTTCACGGGTTCCCAAAATTTTCATGAGTTTGTATTTTTCTATGAATTAAAAAAATGATTTTATATTTCAAAAATGCTAGTTACTTCGAAAATGTTCTCAAATTTGAAAAAATCTTGCAAATTCACTAAATGTTCACGAAAGTGAAGATATACCCCATTAAAAAATCATGAATTTTAAAATAAAAAATAGAAGGAAAAAACGAAAAAAGAAGAAAACTGGTGAAACCAGTAAAGAAAACCCATAAAAATAAAAACTGGTCATTAGAAGGTTCTATAACCTTTCTAAAACCTGTGGGAAAAAGAACAATGGGCTGCGAACGCCCATGAGCATATGTCTGTAGTCGCTATACAGCAACCCACGTGTAAAATAGGTAATCATCGTAGTGGCATCAATCGGAGGCGTCAGCTACTCTTTGAAAATTCTCAAGAAAAGAAAAACAGTTGTTTGAAATGTGCGGGCCTGGGCTAAGATAGGCGGAGAGTCAAGCTACCGAACTTTCTACACTAGATACTACCTATTTAGCCGGTCCATAATAGGTTTTCTTCTTTCTTTATACATTTTTATCATTTCATTTTTACTTTTTGGACATATTTTCATTTCTCTATATCATGTTATTTTTCATTTTTAAATACATTTGTCTTTCAATGTTGTTTTTTCCTTTTCGTGCATTTTATAAAAAAAAACATGTTCTTTAGTTTTTCTTTATTTGCCTTTTCCTTCTATGGAAATTACATGAAAATAGAAAAACAGTGTGACCTCTACTGTCTTCTTTGGTGGCATGACTGGCGGAGGCCACCACCATCTTCTCTGCCAGTGACAATGTAGGATAGAGGTGCTGAGAGAGGAGGGGTGGGAAAGGGGTAAGTTGTGGAGCTTATGTAAAAAGGAGTAAATCCACGGATTTTTCTAGTTTTCTACTAGAACACATGTCCATAGTTTGAACCATATAGTGTGTACTAGGTAGAGTTGTACCTCCACAACTCCAACACCCTACAAAGTATTTTCAATAGTTACAGCATTCCTTGTATTATCTGAAAACACTCCGCGGGCGACTTGGCGCGAAACCCTAGCCATCGGTAGCCACCACACTCACAACTCCTACCTCTGTCGCCGTCGGGCAGACCGAACAGCGTCAGCGGTGCCAGAACTTCCTTTCCTCTTGCCCGAGGTAGGAGTCGCGGGGGGCTTCTCATCCCGGCTGAGGCATGGCAGGCGCAACGCAGGGTGCTGATTGGAGCTAGGCTGTGGTGCACGCATGCAAGAGCGATGCGTGTTGCATGACTCCGTTGTGTTTCGTGACTGCTTGGGTTGGTCGGGGCCTAGGTGGTTGTGCCTATGTGCCAGCCTGGCGGTGGGCGTAGACACGTGGGTGGTCGTCGCCCTGGGTGGCACGTCGGGCCTGATCTAGGCACTATGGGCTCGCAGTCGTGTGTAGCCACCTCTAGGACATGCATGGTGCAGATCAG